TTTTTTTTTTTTTTGGGCCAGGAGCCTTTAAACGTCCTGCTCACAGGAGCATGGTGAACGGTTTATCCAGGAACTTGCGGAACTCGGCCAGCCACTGTGCACCAACAGCGCCATCTACCACCCGGTGATCACAGCTCAGAGTCACAGACATCATGCTTGCCACATCAAACCTACGAGACACACAGAAAACACACGCACTGACTGGAGGAACTGTTTTAAAAGCGCCATGTATATTAGTAGGGCTGATGGCAAATTAATGTCTCTCTATTTCCTTTGCTCACCCTTTTTCGTTGTCTGCAGGCAGCAGTCTCTTTTCTGAGCCACCCACAGCCAGAATGCAGGCTTGAGGAGGGTTAATGATAGCTGAAAAATGCTTGATGCCATACATGCCCAGATTGGAAATAGTGAAGGTGCCACCCTAGAAAAACCAAGAATGTTTGCTTTGAAAAAAACAAGTAATGCATTTTGATATACACAATTCATTTTATATTATTTTAGCTATATACACATATACAGTTTATTACATTAGTTTGTGGTCAGAAAGACTTCAAAAAAAAAAAAATCAACAAATTTATTCAGTCAAGTGACAGTTATGACATTTATTATTTAACAAAAATTATATTTTAAACAAATGCTGTTCTTTTAAACTTCATATTCATCAAAGAATCCTGAAAAATAATTATCATGGTTTGCACAAAAATATTAAGCAGCACAACCATTTTCAAATTTTATATGAAAATTCTTGAGAACTAAATCAGCATATTAGAATGATTTCTGGAGGATCATGTGACAATGACACTAAATAGAAATAGAAAACCTATATACCTATATAACTATACCTACATTTAACACATATAATGTATTAAAATTGTAATAATATTTCACAATATGAATGCATTTATTGTATTTTTGATATAATGAATGCAGCCTTGTTGAGCATAAGTGACCGCTTTCAAAAACATACATATATACACACATATATACACATATATTGGATGCGATTAATCGTTTGACAGCACTAATATATATATATATACACACACACACACACACACACACAAAGTAATTACATAAGTATACATAATATATATTTACATTTATGAATTTTTTTTACTTTTTAGTAAAAAAAAAGTTATTTTTTATTATATTATTAAAAAGTTCAAATGTTAAGAAAGACACAGGTTGTTACAAAACAACACATCATAAAATAATTATTTCTTAAAAAGAATTATATCTTAATTGACCACCTAAAATACTCACCTGGAATTCGTGCGGTTGTAGTTTTCCCTCTCGTGCTTTAGTAGCTAATGTGGCTACGTCCTTGCTGATAGTCGCAAGACCCTTAATATGAGCATTAAATACAATGGGAGTGATTAGACCCACAGGCGTACTGACTGCGACACTAACATCCACCACGTGATTTCTGTGTGGAGAGAAAAAAATATTTGATTTTATTGTAATTTCAATGTCACATGAGTTACTTTAAATTTACTGATAATTGCCCTCAAATGGTTAAGACCCGATTTGCATTGTGGGAGTCCGCTCACTGTCTGATGACTGTGTCCATCCAGGAGGAGTTGGCCTCTGGCACCTTTAAACAGGCCAGAGCCGAGGCCTTGATGATGAAGTCATTGACCGAGAGTTTGAGGTTATCCGCTTTCACCTCCTGGTCATGAGGAAAAGGTACAGTCTAAATTAGGAATACTATAATGTGGAGCTCACTATCACATCACGGTCATGTGAACTGAGTTCACTCACAGCATTGAGTTCTTTCCTGAGTTCAAGAACCTGGTCCATGTTGACATCGATAGACAAATAATAGTGAGGAATAGTCTGCTTCGACTGCATCAACCTCTGGGCAATCACCTAGATAGCATGGCAGGCAGGAAACAGAGCATTATGGGTAACAAAAGTCTTCACATATGCATAGAGAAAATAAAGTGGCTTCTGTGGTCAGTGGACTCACTCTGCGGATGTTGCTGATGGGGATGTCAGTGAAGGTTCCTGTAGGTACAGCAGCAAAAGCAGGGGCGGCTGGAGGGCTGGGTGTGGGTGCAGCAGGGGTAGGAGCAGCAGCTGGTGTCTGGCGGTATCAAACAGAAACTTTTGTAAAAGAATGAGCATAAAAGATGAAAAAGAAAAGAATAATGAAAAATAATTACTGTTACACTTCATTTTTACTACAAAAAAAAAATACAATACACTGTTTATGTATTTTTTGGTCCTAATAACTTTACTGTATTACAGGAATCTATAGACTTGCATTTTCTAAACTGATTTGGAGGGAATTCTAATAATTTTATTACAAATATTTGATAAAATAAATAATTAAATTAAAAAGATTTTGACAATATATTTCATAAAAGAACATGCCTGGGGTGAGATGCAGTGCTATTTTAGTATTATTTATATACTATTTCATTTTTATAAATATTTTGAATTAGCCTTAAATTCGCTTTTTTAAAATTATTATTATTATTATTTTTTTGCTTTATTTGAATTAACCATTTTTTTTAAATAGTATTCGTTTTGGATAGATGTAAATAACTTCGAAATGGCGGGAATTCTATGGACGTTTGTGCAGCATTATGGTACACAGGCTTTCTCAAAGGCCTTATACCTCCATTTCGTTATTGGATGAGCATTACTAGGGCTGTCAGTCAATTAAAATGTTTAATACAACTAAGTATATGGTGCGGCGATTAATTAATCAAACTAAATTTGGCTGTGAAAATACCCACAAAAGATTATTTAAAGCTATTATTGTGTAAAATGAGAAAGTATCAAGTAGACATTACAAATAGTAGCTTTAGAAAGAAATATTGTATTTGATTCAACATAAAATTTATTTTCCATAAATTATGGAACATAAAAGAAGATAATTTGAGAAAAATCTCAGTATTTTTTGTTCATGCAATGAAAGTCAAACAAAACTGGTTTGTTACCAACAGTCTTCAAAATAAGTTCTTTTATGTTGCACAAAAGAAAGTAAGTCATTCAGGTTTGAAATGACATGAAGGTGAGTAAATGATGACAGATTTTTTTTGGTGAACTATCCCATTTATTTATTTAAAGGTGCTGTATGTAGGATTGACACAGAGTGGTTGAACTAGGTATTGCAGTCCAAATTCAAAATATTGGAGAGGGTTTTTTTCACAAGGCCCGTCCTCCTCAGACTTGAGCACATGCAGGTTGCCAGATTGACAACACCAACAGGAACGAGCGCACTTGACGATGAATGAAATGAAATGCGCTCTGTTTTCCGCCAACTGGCAACCCGGGGTGCCGAAATATAATTGGGTAATCTGGCAGTGGGGCGGGTTTCACAAACCAAAACAGAGACCGACATTCCAGCCCGGAACGCACATTTTTAAAGGAGAATAACCGACTGTAGCATTATTTTTCAGATAAACAAGTATGTTAAAGGCAGGGTATGTGATTTTTCAAAAACACTTTAGAAAACTGATTCGGGCCGAATCGCAAAACAAACTTGTAGCCAATCAACAATAAGGGGCGTGTCTACTCGTGATGTGGAGGAGAGCGCATTCAGTGCATGGGACGGACATTAGCCGAGCCGAGCGACAGAAAGATAGAGATGGCGGATAAAAAAACAAAAGAGGAAAACGTCTGCGGAACAATAAGGCAAGAAGTAGGACCCGTGTAAATATCAGATCAGCTTTCCAGCGCTGGAGAGAACTCAAGGAGCGGAGGCCTGCGATCGGAGTAGACATGGTGTAACATTGGTTTTGCTTTGTTTCCCAGAACTAATCGTTGCCTGGGTTGCGTACGTATATGTGGGGCGGAGCTATCAAAATAGGGGCAAGACCCTTTTGGGGTAGGGGCGTGTTTGTTTTGGTGATTTCAAATATCAACATTGGCAACCAGAAATCACTTACTCTGCCTTTAACTTAGCATGTTTCTTAAATATCTGCAAACATTTTATGGTACTTTTATGCTTTAGTAGAGTCAAAAACTTACATACAGCACCTTTAATAAATGAAATGATACTCTAAAAAAAGAAACTAAAACTGCCAGCAGGTGGCGGTAAATGTCTTTATGAGTGATTCATTCATGTCGTTCAAACGGCTGATTCATTCAGGAAAGTAAACGTCTCTCTCTATGAATGAGTTTTTGAATCACTGGTTCACTCGATTCATTCAAAACTAGGATTCATTCAGAAACTTTGCTGTGTTGCTCACAGACGCACATCAGTTCTGCGGTAATAGGTAATATTTTCATTGGCAAAATTGAGCAAAACACATTGTGTTTAAAATATTACACAATATTAACTTCTTATTCACTGAACTGTTGTATAATATCACATTTGCAACACTCGTATGATATTGCTCTCACTGGTGGTGTGATATCGCTTATAATGTAATATAAATACGAGACACAGACTCATACAGGGGCATTTTTTGCCCCAATATCTTGAATTTCAGAGCATAACTGCATTTATGGAGTTGTTGCCCTGCATCATATTTGTCAACAGTCAACTGTATGAAATGTAAGATGAGTACAGGTCTAGGGGCGGGGCCAGTGCGTAAACTGTATTAACATTTTAATTGTGTTAATATTTTATAACTAATTAATTAACATGTTAAACTGACAGCCCTAGTAAAAACAAAGTTTGTTGGATCTGGTTGCATCAAAATTGGACTTACAGGAGTGGGCTTAGGTGGAACGAAACTGTCGATATCTTTCCTGGTGAGTCTGCCGTCTGGTCCAGTTCCTATGGACACGACAGTAGTATATTCCCATTTCAGTCAGTGTCACATATAAATCACCCATAAATGATACAAGTATAATGATAAAGTAACACTAATGCCAGAAAGACATCTCCCATACAAAGGAAAGTAACTGACAGAATTAAAGACAATCTGCTCCTACCTGTGACTTGGGCGATGTCAATTCCCTTCTCGGCAGCCAGTTTCTTGGCTAGAGGACTGGCAAACACCCTACCCTTCCTAGGAGCAGCGGCAGGTGCTGGGGTGGGAGCTGCTGGAGCTGGTGCTGGCGGTGGGGTGGCTACCTGAGCAGTGAGGTACAGTTTAAAGTCATATATGTAAACCACCTACTAAAATGATTTCTTTTTTGTTCGGTTAAATATCAAAATTCTGCGTTATAAAAACAGATTAGAACACGTTATGTTTGTTGTAACTGTAGATTAGCAGTAAGTGCACATGCTAACTATAACCAATCAATTAGTACATAGCTATATAATCATTTTTAAATAAAATCAAATATCTTAATATCTTGCCAGACAAAAAATTTGTTGTACAGCCACTCCCACAAAACTAGCATGGCATGATCGCAGAATTTCAAAACACTGCAAATATTTCAAAATGACCTTTCACTTTTAGACATAGCATGAAAATGTTGATATTACATTGGCAGTAAAAACATGACCTTGATTTTCATCACAGCGGCCTTTAGGTGGCCGAATAAAAAGTATATTACGTCACATTATGACATGTTGCTCGTGTCATTCAAAGTGCTGTTGCACCTCAAAGTGAACAATAAATGATTGCTGTTAATGTTTACTGACGTTAAAAAATTCCCAATTTTTTAATAATAATAGCATTAAGTGTGCATAATTAACCTTAGTAATAATTACATAAACAATAGAGGTCTTGTAGAAATGTCAGAGCTCTTTACCGGTGTGGGAGCGGGAGGTGGGCTTGTAGCCACCCCTGTCTCTACATAGTCAGCGAACGTGCTAATGTCGGATTCCTTTTCCACAATGATACAGAGAGGAGTGCCAAGAGGAACGTCCCTGGTGCCCTCAGCAATCAATATCTTAGCCAGGTAACCCTCCTCCTGTACCTCAAAACCTGAAAATCACAGGAAGAAATGACTTTACATGATGTTGTTAATGTAGACACACTAAATTTCTTTAAATCTGGTTTATGCATATACATTTGACTGTGTATGAATATTTAATGTATTTATTTATATATAAATATACACTACCATTGAAAAGTTTGGGGTCAGTATGTTTTTTTTATTAATATTTTTATTTAGCAGGGATGCATTAAAACGCTTAAAAGTGACAGAAAAGATGTTTATAATGTTACAAAAGATTTTTTATTTAAATGCTGTCCTTTTGAATTTTCCACTCGTGAAAGAATCCTGAAAAAAATATTTCCAAATATAAGCACCAAATCAGCATATTAGAATGATTTCTGAAGGATCATGTGACACTGAAGACTGGAGTAATGATGCTGAAAATTCAGCTTTGCCATCACAGAAATAAATTACATTTTAAACTGTAATAATATTGCAGAGTATTACAGTTTTTCACTGTATTTTTGATCAAATTATTGCTGCCTTGGTGAGACTTCTTTAAAAAAAAAAAAAAAAACTTTTGAAATAATGCTGTAACTAACCACTGTTGAATGCAACCAATGATCAATGACCAAATCTGCCTAACCTAAATATGTGATTACAGTCTAGCCATAAACCTATAAAACTCACCATTTCCATAATTAGAAATTGCTATCTATATGCTTAAAGGCAAAATAATTGACAATTTACCGATTGTTGCCTTATCCGTCTCGATTTCAGCCAGCAGGTCTCCCTCACCGAGTTTCTCACCCACCTTCTTCTCCCAGCGCTGCACGGTGCCCATAGTCATGGTGGGGGAGAGAGCTGGGAGAAGAATCTAATGAAAGCAAAACAGAAAGTCAATAATAGCAGGAAAGAATATGCTTGCATATGCTTAAACTGGCCAATATCCCAAATATTTTTACTTCAGAATTAGTAATTCAGTTTGTAGTAATTTTCATATTTGGTCAACATCTCATACCTTCATGTGAGGTGGGAAGGAGCTTCCAGGAACTTGTGGCGAAGCAGGAGCAGCAGCAGGCGCTGCTGGAGGGGGAGGGGCAGCTGCAGGTGCAGGGGAGGAACTAGCGATTTTATCCAATGTAAGGTCTTTAAATGCAGGGATGAGGTCAGGACTAAAGGTCAAAGGATAGATGACATATATTAGGTGGGAAAATATCAAACATACATTCTATTTCACATACACACAGATATCAAACATGCAACTTTATGCTTTCATAAAAAGCCAAGATCAAGACACAGAAACATTTAGGTACATCACTAAGCCCTTTTTTATGATGCATCGTTTCTCTGTGGTACCACAAAACTGATAGGAAAGTTTCCTCTCATTATTTTACATTATTAACGACATTATGCAATATGTATACAGCAAACAGCAGATCTTATGATGCTCTGTATCTTGGCAGTGCAGGTAAAAATTATGCTTACTTGTCAACTGTAATGCAAATGACAGCTCCAATGGCCACATCTCTTGTACCCTGAGGGACCAAGATCTTGGCAAGGTAGCACTCCTCCAGCATTTCAAATCCAACCGTAGCCTTGTCTGTTTCAACCTGACCAAATCAAAACAGAATAGGTAGAATATAGAATTATACCATGGGGCTGTTGAGCGTTTGATTCTGATTGGTTGACAGGTGCTCCAAGGTGCCATGCGCCATGCCGTTGCCTCATTACCATGTCAGATGTACATTCATATTCAAACATTCAACAGCTGTCATCAATTATTACTTAATCTTGTCATCACTATTAAACTATTAAGTGTCATTTTAAAAGCTGAATATTGATAGGAATCTGTGGCTTTGTCTTGTTGGTAAAAAGCTGAATGTGCCTCACCTCAGCGATCAAATCTCCCTCATTGATTTTGTCTCCTTCTTTCTTCTCCCAGCGTGCAATAGTGCCCATCTGCATAGTGGGGGACAAAGCGGGTAGTTCCACCTGTAATAGAATGAATTAGGTTAAATTAACAGAAAGTTGGGAGCATTTCGCATGAATGACTATAAATTCTTCTCATAGAATGAAATACATTAACAGTCAGAAGTTTGACTTCTGATCAGGCTGATCACATAACACTGAAGACTGAAGTAATGGCTGATGAAAATTCAGCTTTACTGTCACAGGAATAAATTACACTTTAAATACATTAAAATAGAAAAGTTATTTTAAATTCTTACATTTTTGTACAATATTACATATCGTAATTATTAGTGTAAATGATCTGCATTGAAATGGTAGTTCAACAGGTCTGTTGTTGTTTACTGTGATGTAAGATCATGATATTGAGGATTCCCACAACTTCCAAATAATGAATTTCCATGAAAATTTTTTTTTTTTTTTTTTGAATAAGGATTTTTATTTATTTTATGGAGACTGGACTCACAAACAGCAATTTCAAGCTGAGAAAATGGTTTAGAGCTGAGTATAATAAATGTATAATCATTATGGAAATGAGCACTTTCCTTATAATTTAATTATTTTCTAAGCATGGAAATCTATGACTGCTACTAAGACTCAATATTTAGATTATTATTAAATCATATGAGACTGTTCTGCTGTCTCGTGAGATATACAGGCATATCAACATGGACCTCTGACAGCTCACATAATTCATGACACATATATATATATATATATATATATAACTACAGCCCTGCTTTAACATCTTGAAGGTGACACCAACAGAAGAAACGCACTGATGCGCTATACCAGGACTCAGTTCACCCCCAAATTTTGAAATAATTTTATTCTCCCTCATGTTTTCCAAATCTGTGTGACTTAATTTATTCAGCGGAGCACAAAAAGAGATGACAGATGGCACAATGAAAGTGAACGATGACTGAGGCAGTCATTATGTAGAAAAAGATGCAATGAAAGTCAACAGCGACTGAGGCTCAGTCTCCAACATCTCCTTTTGTGTTCCACTGAAAAAAAGCAAGTCAAACGGGGGTGGAAGCACGTAATAATATTAGTTAGCCCTTAGCTTACCTTCTGATGTGGTGGCAGACTGTACATTCGCATGCTTTGACTGAAACTAGCCGTCTGGCTTCGCAAGACCCATGATCTGTTACTGAGGATGCTGTTGAACACACACCGACCGTGACACAAGATCCGGGTCCGGGCCGGGCCGCTGGAGTGGTATCGCTTGAGATGATGGCATGATAGCGGTCCGGATCGTGGACTAGCAGCAGCAGGGCCCGACAGGACACTGAGCCGGGTGAGCCTGGATGATGGACGCACTCGCAGCGCTAAACGCAACATTTTGACCGTGATGACCCTGTAAAACTACGCTGGATTTGAGTAAGGCCACTCTGGTATCAGAATATCTGACACCTGTGCTAGAGGTGGCGGTCTGTTCCCCCCAAAACGTACCGAACAACCTCACTTTCCAATGACCTCCCCACTCCAAAACATCCCACTTTACGACAGTCTCCTTCGCTTCGTCCTCATCTGTGACGCACCAGGGTTGCCAGATACTCTTTGAGTGATACACAAAACCTTCCTTTCAAATTTTCTCATGAATGAGAGAATATTTAATCGCAAACTTTAACTATGATAAATACGAAGTGCTTAACACTTGACATTCTTCACGTACCCTTTGTGAATCATGAATCAGGTTACGAAGTTATATGGGTGAATATTTTATTGAACAGATGTATTATTCTGAAGGACTGGGGGAGTATAGTTTTAAATACATGGCAACCTTCAAGCTGTCAAAGCCGGTGTCGTAAACTGTCAAGCAAGCGTTGACGTAAAAGCTCCGTCAAGTAAAAGTTAAACTATCCACACCTCCTTTTCAAATCTGTCTGGATCACTTCGCATTTTACATTGCTAATGTATTGTGACTCAAATTAATATTTTAAAGCATGACCCTTTTCCATTTTTTAGCCTTTAAAGGTTTACCCATAAATAAAACGTACACTCCCTCGTG